CAGAGTGCTTTGTCCGGTCTGGCAAACGTTGGAGTCGAATTCCTCCTAGGGAGCAAAGTTCTTGACTTCGAATATGCCGCTGATATCGCCTTGTCGAGTGACAATGTATAGGCAGTCCAACACGCTTTGAATCGCCTGGCGATAGAGGTATCCAGGTATGGTGTGTGCTTCTCGCTATCTAAGTGCAGTGTTTGTTCAAGACTGACCGGAGCCTGTTCCTTCTTTCCACCTTTCCGATGATTAGAAAGAAGTAGTCGAGAGCTTTAAGTAATTCGGGAGCCTAATCAAAGCTGGAGGTGTTGAGGAAGAGATCACGTCACAAATGGCGAAAGTCAGAGCAGCTTTTATCAACCTGCGACTTTTATGAAGCAGCGATGACATCCCTTTGTCCCTTATGGGAAGGGTGTGCATCGTCGCGGTTCGTAGTGTTGTGCTTTACAGTTGCGAGCCCTGTCCCCTCCGCGTTGAGGATGCTTATCGACTTTCTGCATTTGACCACCAGTGCCTTCGAAGGATTGCTCGTGTCTGGTCGGGTGACCGTGTAAGCAATGAAGAAATTCGTCTGCCTCTCCGTGCTCTCTTTTCACGTGTTGGGCAAGGCTGCAAGAAGCGTCGCGGCGGTCGGACCATGACCTAGTGTAGTGACATGAAGAAGTTAGCCTCAGCGTTGTCTTCGATTGGTGCAGTTCGCCTTCCATGCTGGGGCCCGAGGGATGAGGATTGCCGATGGTTGGAGACATTGAGACATATGGCTCAGAATATAAGTCAGTGCCTCAATTATCGTGCGGTTTGATTGCCAAGACCGTTCCCTGTAATTGACAAAGAAACCCAATTCTGGTTCCATACTAGGGTTGGAAGCCCAGTAATTCGCTGACCGGGGCACGTATTGCATATGCCTAGCTGTCGTCTGCCGCACCGCCCCTCATTCTCTGTAGCTAATCCGGGCTGAAAGAAACTACCTGGAGGTCAGCAGATGCCGTGGAAACGAGGTGTGAAGAAATGCACAGAGCCATTAGGTTGATTAGGTGTCTTTCACCTTCCACGTTGGAGTCCGGAGTGTTGTGTTCGGACTAGACGTACGAATTACACGAGCGACTCTTGCTTAACCGCAAACGACAACGCGGAGAGAGAACACAGGTTGAGACATCAGTCAGTGTGTGTTCCTTGTTTCGATATCGATATGCAAAACATATAGAACTAGTCGTGCATACGAGAACGACGCAGTGACCCACCAATCAGATTGTCCTTGACGTATCGATTGATCGATTGAACAAACATTAGCTGACACGTTCTGTGATCATCCAATCAGGTTCAGCCTGTCTGGAGCGTTGCGAGCGTGCGTGTGGCCTGACACGGAGGCGTGCGCGATCGTCCGTCCTAACACGAAGGACTCCACACCTGGTTGGTTGGAGACATTGAAGAATATGGCAGCGAAGCGACAACAGTGCCGTTCTTGTTGTTTCTTATCAGGTCAGACTACTCGAAACGGTTTGTATATAGAGTTCGATTGTGCACTCTCTGTGTTTTGATCATAGAGATTCACCTTCTTGCCCCTCCCTCAAAGTAGGTCCAATTCCTGTCCACCTTAAATTTAATTACTAATCTTGTATACATTGCGAGTTTGGTAGCGATCAGTGAAGTTCGCTTCACTGTATTTCGCTGCACGATGATGATGATGATATCACATATATAGGCGACAAACTGTTGTTGTGCTTTGTACATCAGAGCGGTGTTTGGCTCGATCGATAGTCCTGCGCTGCTTAACTGTTTGCTGAGATACGGTGCAACTAAAAAGTATGTCCTGTTTCTGAAAACACTTCATCGTCGAACTTTGGGGAAGGATAGGACTTTTGGTGAACTCACTCTCTTTCCCGTCACCAGTGGAGCACGACACGGTTGCCATATGTCCGTTTCTCTTAAACTTCGTGGTAGATGATCTGCAAATGCTTTACTTAGCTGAACGGACGCTGGCGTCGAGCTTCTTCCTGAAGTCAGAGTCGTAGACTTGGAATGTGCTGATGGTGTTTCTTTTTTCGGTGAAAACGCATCGGGGATTCAAAGTAGAGCGAATCGCTTGGCCATTGAGGTTGCTCTTCATGGTATGTAAGGGGTTGCTGTAAGATTGGCCGATACCTGTTGCTGCACTTGCGTAGGGTAATGACGCTCTGGAAGTAGTCGAGGCTTTTGTCTACCTCTGGAGTTCCATGGAGGGTTCCGGAGGTGTGGGAAGATCTCCCAATCAAAACATGATTGATGTTGGCTAATCTGTTACATTTGTGGCGTCGGTGCGACATATTCCTTCCACTGAAAGGTTTTGTGCATTGCGAAACGGTCCGCGCAGTGTTGCTCCAGGGTGGTGAAGCTTGGCCCCTCCGAGCAGATCGTGTCCTATAACTATCTGTTTCCGAGGTCCGTTTTCGGGTTAAAATCACCTGCGTACGGTTTGTCCATCGTGTACGTAACGATGAGGTCAGACGACATATGTTAGGTTCAGATAGTCTTTCACTGAGTAAAACCATTTCTTTGCACCATTACAGGTGAAAAAGACACGCTTATGTATGTCTGAACAACATCTGCTCAATCTTGCACTATTTACAAAAATTGGTCCGGACTCAAACAAACAGCGAGTTGGACAAGCTATGCCGTGGCGTAGACTAGTTGAAAAAGTGCTCAGATTAGGCTTCTGTTGGGGCTCTGCGGTTTCCAGGCTGGGCCCCAAAGATTCCGATTGTCGTTGGCTGGAAACACTGCGGGATATGGCATCTCACCGAAGTCATTAATCTGAATGTACTCTTTTCTGTCTGCAATCCTATAAGTAAAAATGAATTCCAAATTACGAGGAGTAACCAAAGGGAAAACTTGTTATCCCTCTTCATTTGCGGTCCTCTTTCAATCCATGGTTATTTCGATACCGCATCTGTAGAACTTGATGGTATACACACACACACACACACACACACACATATATATATATATAATCTCTATTACACCACTGACCGCCGGAGAAACCATCCGGTTAGTGAAGTCAATGTAGCACTTTCGATAGTGAACCCTGTATAAATTTGAGTATATTGTTATTAGAGTTATGTCTTATATAGGCGTGAAGCTCACATTGTTAGGTATGAACAGATGCATACATGTGTTTGTTTTGCTCCTGGTGAATTTTGCTGATGAGCTGATTTCGCATTTTAGGCAGTGTCTGACAATTGTTTGCAGTTTAAACTAAAATCACCTCATTTTTGTAGTCTTCATGCTTCATCATGCATATTTTTTATACTGTTCTCAGCTGGCACAGGCCGTAATTTTGAAAGAAGTACAACGTCTACATCAAGCTCAAGCCGCCAGTTCCGCTTCGTTGTTTGCTGCTGCCCCACCGCCTGAGCTTACCGCAAACGTTCAGGCTCGAGTTACCACTTATGTAAGAAAGTACATGGAATCCAAAGGCGCCTTCTATCGTAGAAGGGTCCAACAACCTCCTGTACAACTAAAATCGCAACAACAGCAACATCAAAACATGCATCCTTCTCATCACCACCATCATCATAATCCTGTTGCTCCGCCAAGACCTAATCTCCCAAACGTATCGATTCCTCCCCAGGCTGGAGGTTCCCGACCCGCATGGACAAGCTCCGCCGGACCGGTGGATCGTGTCTCTCTCTCACCGAAACCAGTTCATAATTTGGTCGGATTTGACGGTCGGCCGTGATCTGACCGCATGCATCCCTTGTGTGATATCTTCCCTTTACAGTCTCACTCTACCCCGTTCATTCATCTTGTCTCCATATCTTTATTCATTTACTCTATGAACTCACTTTTCAGTGCTGCCTTCCTTTCTGAACCTCTTTTCCCCGAGAGAATGTGTTCGACGGGCACATGTACTGTATCACAGTCCTACAACACGACATCTATGGATGGATGTGTACAGTTTGAAATGGAATGCGCTTTCGCCGTTTCATCCCCATCTTCCATATTCAGGATATTCCACGAGCCTCCAATTCTTTTCCGCGTTGCAAAGGTAAATGAATGTCTTATGCATCACCCCTTCACACTTGGTTGTCCACAATTGATAAGTTGTTATTTTTTGATCACATTCTTACACCTACCCTTGCCACTCCACCCCACCATCTCTCTCAGACAATGCTTTTTTGAACTTAAAAACGTCACCCCGCAGTTCTTATACTCATCCTCCCTAACCACTTGTGTGCAGGGCCAAACAGTTGTACATAATTCTCATATTTTTCCCAGGGAAAATCCTATTAACTCGCACTTATCCCCCGCATTCTCTTGTTTCGCATGCCTTACCAGTTCACGAGTCGGATCACGTGGTTTCCTACACCTCAACATCTGGCTTCATTCCTTCATCATCGTACATCGTCGTTTTTGCACGTGACTTTGTTCATGTGTCTGGGTCACTGAAACAATATACGACCATTGATTCACTTCATTCTCAATGACTGTTCCTATGGTTTGATCTTCGGAGATTAATGGTTTGCAAACTGTTTCGTATCCATCATATTTTTGCCTTTTCCAAAGTTCTCATCATCCCCACACTATGTCACTCATACCCTATTCTTAAACTAATCTTTGTTCTTGGGTGGTTGATTCGCCGCCTCCTTGGTCCTTGTGTTTTTCGGCCCTTGCGGTTAATGTGTTATAGTGAATATGTTCATCACAACACGTGCACATTCTCATCCCACTCGTTTGTCAGCGATGACCATTTCTCCCCCGAAACAGACTCTATTTGCCCGGTCCTCAAGTTGCACGGCCAGACCCTGTTTTGTTTTGTCTATATCGCGATTTGGTGTGCCCGTGTACGTTTGTTAGTCTCTGAATATGTAGCAATTGAGCAACTTGAATGGTGTTTACTAAGCGTTTGGGGAGCAACGGCGACATATAGATATCACGCGTGCCTGAGTTCTGATTGTGTCTCGAAATCACGGTCATCATATATTGACCTGGTGAACTCATTTTTGTGTGCCTGTTTCCTTTGACGGGGCTCTTCAAATTGACACCGTTTGCAATCACTTTACTCGTAGACACATACTGTGCTGTCACCAGGAAAACCATCCATCCGGCGATATCATATATGCATTAACCGTTATCATATCTCGCGTTCTCAACTGCAATCTACCAAATACCGCAATCAGACATTTTGAAACTTGGGTTACGTACATTGCAGCAATCTCTCTTCAGAGCCCACGTCTTTAAGCGTTCTACATGCTTTCCCATCGTTCATTATTCATTGACTGTCTATCGCGACGAGACTGCACCTCCACTAGGTTTTAGTTTAGTTTTCTACAACTATTGACAGTGCAATTTTGTGCGCCAGTTTTGGTTGCTATCTTTTGGCAGTCCATTGGGATAAAAGGGGGAAAACGAAGATAGGAGTGTTGAGAGTAAATTCAAGAGAATCCACATGGACTGGGATTGCAAGAATGACCAGTAGATGCGCGAGCGTCACTGTTTGCGACCCTCAGCCATATCACTCAGCGTCTCTAGCCACCGGTTACCATGATCTCGAGGTCCCCATCCAGGGAGACTAACGGCACCTATGTGACCCAGTGTCCCGGTTAGGGTTTTCATACTCGTGCTAGGTCTTAGTTTGGTCATCCTTGACCTTTGTCCACTCCGCCTGCCTCGATAAACGTCGCGCAGCGTGGTATCCTATTTGGTGACATGCGCAACACGCTCCAACTAGCGTAATCTATGGAGGCTGACCACTTGTTTCAGTGGCGAAACTGCGGTAACCTAAAACTGCGTTTAATCTCAATATTGCTTTTTCGGTTTCTCCACCAGAATCGACGTAAACCGTCGTGTTCTGACACTGGTAATTCCTTCTTATCCTGTTCCCCTAGTGGCCAAGTCTCTGCACCTTAGAGCAGCACTGGTCGAACTGCTGCAGCATATACTCGAGCTTTACAGACAGCCGGATGTCGCGACGACGCCACAGTTGTCTCAAGTTGTCAAATGCCAGCCGAGCCTTTTGTATGCGCGCCGACACTCCATCTGTGACGTGTCCACCAGGTGAGATATAGCTGCCCGAATATCAAAATTTGTTCACTTTTACTACTTAAGACCAATGGAACCAGCCCATCCGGGCCTGAAGGATTATACCTTTTGAGGTAAATGATTTCCCGGGTAACCTCTTTCAGATGAAAGACCGATAACTATTGAAAATGATGTGGAATGATTGTAGCTCGGGATGTGAATGTTCCAGCTCGGAGAGCTCACCAAGACCAATTGATATCTATTGTTAGTATTTGCCCGGTTGAAGCATGTATAGAAAGGTCTTGTGTTAACACTGAACTGTGCCTTAAGATGTTCTACCCATCATTCAAGACGGCTTTGCTGAATATGAATCAGTGTGCCGTCAGACTCCTTAATTATTAATTAATGATAGCTGCAACCTTCACCATATCCTTACGATTCCCTATCCAGCACTTCTCGCTGTCAACTCTCAGGCTCTTGATAAACTGGCGTTTAAAGGATTTGCGCGCCTTGGCGTATTTTGCATTAGAAGGAATGGCTTTGCGAGCGTCCAGCAGAAGGTCAGTCGAGGTCGACGTGATCCATCGTTTTTGCTTCGACCAAAATTAGTCGTTATTTTGATTGATGTTCAGATCGTTTCCTTGATTACCGTCTAATGTTCAATGAATACTTCGGCTGATAGTTGACCTGAAAAGCGATCAGAGAGTTCCGCTGCGAAGGCCGATTTGCAACCACTGTTTACCTTGTATTATGGGTATCCGTTTCCGGTGGCTTCCCGCGGTTGTTTACTAAGCTTGGGGAGAATCTGGCTCGCAGCAGAGAATGGTCCGTGTCCACGGGTGTTGACCAGTAGGAGCTACAGTATCAGATGGCGATATGATCGATTTGAGTGGAGCGCTGTGGAGGGGCGGTTAGTTTCCATGTAAGACGGTGTCATTTCTTGTGCAAGAAGTTGGTGCTTGACAGGGACAATCCGTGATCAGCGCGAAGTTGCAGTTGGCGATCTCCGTTGTCCGTTCAGCTAGCTGAAGTTGCATGTGTACCGCCAAGTGGCCTTTCTGATTCGTCCAGAGATCCCACTTGAGCATTGAAGTTTCCAGCGACTACCACGGTGTCCTTGTGGGATTCATCCTTCATTTCTGGCGAGCTTCAGTCAGTCGATGCATTCACGGATAAGACGAATAAGCATAGTCGCTTCGTTCTGTAGCTGTTGACTCGTACTGAACCATCCAGATGTACAGCGTAAATTCAGCCTCTGACTAGGATCCAGTCGAGAAGTGAACGCTTGGCCTTGACACTTAATGCAATCCCGACACCAGGAACACCACGGGCTTCAAATGCCGAATTGCCTGACACACGGTCAGGAGAACGCAAGGAGACGATTGAAGTAGGGTCTTGTATGCGTGTTTCGGAGACAGCATACATCTAGATTGAGTTTCAAGGCAGCTTGTTGGCCAGTCTGATAGTGTGCAGACATTGAACGCGCCTAAGTGAAAAGGGGCATTTGGTTCCAAAAATCCGATAATTTCTGGTTGGTGGACCTTAATAGTTGAACGCTGAGTGATATTTAAGTCAAATCGAGTCCAGGAACTGCTTTACACATCCCACGGGTGGCGAAACAGGATGCATCTAAGATTTGGGAGTGAGACAAAAAGCTGGACAGTTAAGAAAGTGGGTTTTCCAAATAGTACCTAATACTCCGGGGCACCTAATGGAGGTCCATTTGGTGTCTCCCCGACACAATTGGCTCCCCTATACTTTAGCACTGTCTGTCTGCAGGGTGTGCTCGCGAAGTTTAGTTCAATTTTACAATCTCTACTCAGATCGCCGAAACCGTCACTTATACACTCGAGTTCACCACTGAAAATGGTGCCCGTCAGGGTTGCCCTCTTTCTACTTTCCTATCTAAATTTGCCATGGTATGGGCTTAACATCTTTAGAGTGTAAGATTTTGCTGCTATAATGGGTTAGCCCATCCACCAGCTTCACACCAACAGAGGAAATAGTGGAATAAGTGGACAAATTTTACTATCTGACCAGCTGTACGAGTGATGAGCATTTAGTCTCAGGATGCGGAGTGCACGTAGATGTGGATGATCGGGTAAGGAAAACGTGAACTGTAGTCTATTATGAATATTGTTCAGTGATTGCAACTCAGAACCAAGTATCAACAACCGAGCATAACGCACAAGTCATAAGAGTCGTTATACTAGGACTGTAAGGATGGAACTCAGTCGATGACACTGGCGGGTGATGATTATCTACAGTACTGGCCGATTGTGAGCACTAAAATATTTTCTTTATGATCAAAGGGAGTTTCATTATATTTATCACCCATATTAATACTTTAGGTATGGACAATAATTCATATCTTCAGTTTCGACTAGACCTATACTAAAGGAATGGGGAACACGGGAAGCGGTGGAACTGTTCGAATTCGATATCCCCGGCTCTCAATTTATTGACCTAACCACTTAGCCACCACCGCACATTCTATGGGGGCCAGAGTTCTTTTGATTAAGCCAAGGATATAGCCATTGTGAGCAAATACTCTGAAGAGGTGCTTTTCTTCTTCAGTATATCGGTGCTGCAGTGCGTTTGGATTCTTCCGAATAAGATCTTAACATAGTTGCTGTGTGGGTAATTACTTCTAGAGCTTAGAATTTGATCCGTATGTATTACTTTGCGGTAGACTGCTGTTTCCAGGTTTCCTGATGG